CTCAGCAGTCGCGCACACAACTATGGCCGCAAGTGAATACTTCCTATACGTACTTTGCGTATCCAGTCGGTAGTTTTCCACGTGCGTATTTAGATATTTTTTTAGCGGCATCAGATACGCGCATTACAAACGAACCTATACGCCTTTTTCGTAATACTTCGTCGCGCCCCACTAAAGGAAGCAAAAGAAGTATCAATGTGCAATGAACTAACAATAGCTCTCAAAACATTCCATTTTGCCCACTTACCCCCCATTCACACTGGAAGCGGATCCGCGTTCGCGAAGCGGTTGCGAAAGCGGTTGTATAAAGATCCAGTGCAATTGCACGCGCATTTGATGTCATCGTGTGCGCGTGCAATTGTACTGAATCCTTATACAACCGCGTTCGCAACCGCTTTGCGAACGCGGATCCGCTTCCAGTGTGAATGAGCCCTTACCGTTTTTTTTTTTTTAATGCATCAAAATGTCTTCTGTTCACGTGGCGGGAGATGACGCTGGAAGGCAAATAATGACGGTGCCGCCTCATTAATGCCTGTCGCTCAATGAGCGTAAATGTGCTAGGAGAACTTTACACAATATTGGGGTGAGGCGCGTAACACTACGGCTTTTTTTTATTAATAATTCGTCTTTGGCGGGAGAGCCACGTTGCCGAAATAAATGTTATGGCATTTAATGAAGTACCTAAGATAGTCTGCGGTGTGACACTGACCATAGTGAAATCTCATGCTCAGTGGCGCAGCGTAACCAGTTTTTTTTTAGGTCTAAACATATTTGCAGCCTCGGCAACGCTGAGGTTCGTCTGTAGACTGACGCAATTGGTTCTCTCAAGTGCTTTGCGTGGAAGACGGAGCTTCAGATTTCTAGAGTGTAAACAAAATGTCAAAGGCGTCAGCTCCGATACTTAACACGCATTAAGTAACCGGTACTAGATAAAACATTAAGCTGAGAAACTTCAGTATTCGACGTAATGTGAAACCTTAAAGGAGTTTGTCGAGGTTGCTTAAGAAAGTAAATAAAAAAGGCGCCTGATGATACTATCAAAAAATATTATTTGCAATTGTAGAAAAGCAAGCAAGCACAAAGGTTGCTCTAGTATCGTGTCGTAGAAAATAATGCTAGAAGTCATTAGTGTTGAACGTGGGAGATCCTACCCACTCATTCACACTGGAAGCGGATCCGCGTTCACAAAGCGGTTGCGAACGCGGTTGTATAAAGATCCAGTACAATTTCCCCCGCACTCGATGGCATCGAGTAAGCGTACAATAGACCGATCTCACCAAGCGTTCCACGCATACGCGACGCCGCCATAACTGTAGTTCGTAAGAGGCAGACGCCAGTTCACGAGATAGCTGATGCCGCCTCGTGCTCTGCTCGCGCAGACCTCCAGCAGGGTTTTCGCGCGTGCAGAAAGACTACAGCTCCCACGGTGCATGTCGGCAGCGGTGGCGTACTCGAACTAGCTGGTGAGATCGGTCTATTGTACTGGATCTTTATACAACCGTGTTCGCAACCGCTTTGCGAACGCGGATCCGCTTCCAGTGTGAATGAGCGGTAAATATGTTTATGGCCAAAGTTAGACGAAACATAAAAGAGAGTGATATGCGAGGAGGAGACCACGAGGTGCGCATTTGTGACACACTTTATACAATAGACAGACATAAAGCCTTTTCTTTTTTTTTTGCGGGTTTCAGCTAGAAAGAAAATAATCAGAATTGATAAGAACACTAGTTATTCGATTATAAATATACAAATTAAATCTAACGGGTTCGTTTCCTATTTCATTGACTGCGCTTCAAGCGACCAGTGAAGACATTCGTCTCTTCGCGACTACTTTCACCCTTGCCCTTGCCTCGACGAAATTTCGCGTGCTATCTATTTCAGCACCATACTTGTTCTCTTATGAGACGCCCATGAAGTTGGGTCAGCTGCGAAAAAGGATTTTCTCCGTTTCTCCTGGCGGTTCAGTTTCTGAACATCCATAGAGAGCAACGACACAAGCACTTCTTTTATTTTCATACTTACCTTATACTACATATAGAAGAGCAACCAGCTATTTTGGGGCATCGGACAAAATGGGATATATTTGCTTATCTTATTTTGCGCTACGCGACAAATGAATATCTTCTTTGTCGTTACTTTGCCTTTTACATCTACCATTATATTCATAGACTGCCCATGCGCTCATGCAAAACGTTCATTTAAAGGGAGAAATATGTCTAAAAAAAAACAAAAAAACGAATGTATGAGCCGTACGGTGATAAGCCGACTCGCCTCGAACCTGAGACGCATGTTTAAAAATAATTCGGTTGTCAGAGAGTAATAAAAAATTAATTGCTCAGGGTGATTTGTCTTTTATTCATTCTAAAAAGAAACACTGAAATTAAACGCAAATGCAATTTCTCGTCCTCATTGAACTTGGCTTACATTTTATGTCGGAGTTACTCTCGTATCCCTGCTGCCGAGGCCAGAAATTGTGCAGTTACCTGGGCCCGTTTTCTCGAACGCGAACCGTGGGTTAAAGATCACTATTGTCCCTACAAGGTGGAATTCTAGGTCACGTGACTGGGAGAGCAGGGGCGCCTAGGGAGGAGCAGTACCTACAAGCAAAATGGCCGCGACGTCGCTTAATGAGGGCTAATAGTTCTGCTTGGTTCTGCTGAACGTTCATTTCGATCCGGCTGTTATATTAATGACGCACCATCAACCTATTAGCACGTCAAGCAGTTCAGAGGGACTACGGTACTAAACTAACCGACGGCAGCATTCCGCGAACACATCACTCTTCAGCAGTCCGGGATAAAAGACATACGACGGTACATAAGCCTTGCAAGTGTTTTTATGGTGAGTAAAAAAAAATGTTTTGCGAACGAGTGTTGGTATATATTTATACTAACGCGTTTAATTTGTTACACTATGCACGCCAACTCGTGAGCAGGGATTACTTTGCGGAGAAAGAGGACTATCCTCGATAAAGTCTTCGTTCCCGGTGAACAGCTGGGACATTGAACTGTTTTTTTGTTCGCAGTGCGCCGACAGTATGCCGACAGCATCGAGGTTTCTACATATCCCCAGTGGCCAACAATTCAACCGTTTGCCCAACCGATCCACCGCTGACGAGAAGCTAAGCTTCTAGTCACCGGTGGATCGGTTGGGCAAACGAAGAGAAGGCAAACACTTCAGATCAGCAGGAATCGCAGAAACGTGCGTCGCAAGGAACAAAAACGAGACTACAGCACCGGCGTTGCCAGACTGGAAGGCACACGGGAAAGTTATGCGTTGTTTATGGCGAAACATATTGAAGGAAATGTTTCTTACATTTTCGAATATTCGTCGACAAAGTCTAGCATAGTAGCTAAAATTTCTTCTTAGCATCTGAAGCAAATAAATTGGTCTTCAAGTACAACATTACTATATTTTGACTTAAAATGCCATACTAGACCGATAAAAACCAGCGGAAAAAGAGGATAAACAAAATGACTGGCTTGTTTCACCGATAGATGGCGCATTTTACTGCCCAATCAAAAATAATCATTGTTGTTTTATATCTAGTCGTTTATTACAGTACCTAGGTACTTTTTCCTTCCTAGGCACCGTGGTTTACCAAAATGGGTTTACCATCGCTTCGAGAAAACCGGCCCTGGGGCTCCTGTCGGTGGCTTCTCGGTGTATGTTTTGTGTAATCAGACATAAAATATGGTGTGCTCACACACTCTTACCGGAGAGACCAAAAAACATGGAATGTACACTTGGCATATGTCTCCACTCGAATCTGGTATAACAGAAAGACGGCTGAGAATAAAATGCCGAACGTACCGAGCCTCAAACACAGGTATTAGATTGAAACCTCATACGCCATTTATAGCCTTACCCGTGAGGTATGTATTCACCTTGTCTATGATGCAGCCATGGACGGTGTACTTGAACAAGCTTGCTTGAGTCTGGAGTCTTGATATTATTGCGCTGGATATACTAACATCTAAAAGTAAATGTGAACAATGAAGCTCCGGTGATGCAACGCCCTTTAGACTGTCTACTAAACCTTGGAGGAACTTGGAGAGGCCATGTGTCTGTAACGGCGGCGGTTTGTCTTGGTACCTTACTCAACTTAACGTCACTCCAATGTGAATGGCAATTGGTGGTTGCGGGACCAACGCCAGCACGAGGGCCACTGACACTGTCAGTTTTAGCGCGAAGGTATAAGCTGCTGGATTTTTATTAGCCGCTTTGTTTTGAGCTGTATCATGGCACTGTGCGAAGTCTGCACCGTGGCCTGTGCGGCATGGAGGTAACATGCATGGTCAAAAGAAAAAAAAAAAGGACGGCTCGTTCTTTCTCGTTTTGATCAAGAGGTCGGCTCGACCTCTTGATCTAACTATTTCTTCCCCTCCCGCTGTGTGGTGCCGTAGATATTGTTTATTTGCCACTCCCACCGTTCGCATTTCTGTTACTCATGACTGTACCTTCACTATGGCATTCTAGTGCATTTTAGTTTTTTCTTTCTCTGACACATTAGACGGCGCTCCTAAACAAATGCAAGTTACCCTGAAGCTATGAACTGAGAAACCTGTTACTTATACTTCGTTTTGTGTTAAACCGGAGCGTAGTCAATGGTTAGAAGACACGGTACACACCCGTAGAACAATAATAGACGCGGCAAGGTTGCGCTTTTCGCGCTGCTTTAATGGCCCAGTTGGGTCTTTGTGTGGAGTGGGCTCTGGCATAAGGTGAAACAAGGTTTAGATACGTAAGCAACAACAAAAAAATAACATCACTTTTCCTCGAGGTTTTAGCGATAATCTCTCAATCATTTTCACCAGATGTCTGAAAGAGCTTGTTATTAAACTGTCTAAAAAAAAGAATAAAAAACAGGGGGCATTCAGAGAATTACATGGTTCAGTTGAATACCTGTGAAATAAAGGTAAGAAACACTTTGTCAGTCACAATGTCAATTCCAACTACATTTAATATCACAAAAAGAGACAATCTTATTTACAGCGTGTTTATTACTACAAGGCGTCTATTGATTGATTGAAGGCGGCGAGGGAAGAGGTAAGTACATATAATATAGTTTGTACACAATCACTTTGGACAAATAGACCTCAAATAGAGGTTATTTTTGGTGTGTTTTTTTTGCTTTCTTGTGACTACTCAAGTGAGACAAGCATGACTCAATCACAAATTGTTAAGAACTGTGACAACACAATGGTCCTCTGGGAAGTGAGGTATTGAGAAAACTAGGCCTATGCAAACTAGATCTTTGGTTTCCTTGAGCAAGCACCGCGACCTGACATAAGGTCGTTTTTTATGCTGTTAGCTAAAAGACAAACAAAAGAAAATGTAAGTAAAACGTCTTCCATTCTTTTCGTTTTTCTTAATATCTTGAAATAAAATTGTGAAAACGGAACGATATCACAAATATAGCCCGCTTGGCGCAGGTAAACGAACTCTTCGGTATAATATTGCGTCAGAGTTGTAACGCACAGCTAGCTTGGTATAATAGTCTGTTTTTTTGTATTTTTTTATACTTAATTATCAGGTTACGGCTTGTAATTTTGTTGAGTCAAAAACATCATTCAGTTGAGTGGCTGATGTCCCGAGTCATTGTCGCGAAAATTGTGAGCTCTTTATGTTCGCCTCTCTATTGCTCCGTATTCCGGAATTACGCTGGGCATACCCTTCACGAGAAAACGCAATCCACAGCGCATAAGAAAATCACTGCACAGGAACTAAGTCGCGTGAAGTTTGAGTGCGCTACTTCTCCTGCTTGTTTATTGTATACCTATAGCCTCTTCAGTAATTCCGCCCTGAAATATGAATTTCCGCGTCTACGGAGTAGTGGTTCATGTTTGTAATGGTGTCAATTTGGTACATATGCACACACGTACGCTCCCACACATCGTCATTCACACGCGCATACAAACACATGCACGCACGCTTAATCGTACATGCTGAAACGTGCAGGAACGGCTACACAAGAAGGGGAAAGACATTCACTAGTTCTTTGTGTTTGTTTCCTTTAGCACGAGCAGAAAGACCTCGCTGTCAATATCGAAGAAAAGTGTTTGTTCGTGATTGTGCTGTGTAGGCAGCGCTCAGTTTTTGGTGTTGTTGTTGTTCTTGTTTTTGCTGTTATTATCGTCGTCGCTTTGTGTAGAAGCGTCTCGTAATCGTCCGTTGACTAGATGCTCGACTCTGGCGTCCTTGTCTCCCACGGGGTCCCTCGCCAATGACACTGGATACTTCGGCGATGTCAAGGACAGCGATCCTGTCTGCGTGATGTTTTCCGGCCACCAGTTGTTTTGAGAAATTGCCACGAAGACAGGATGTTAGTAGTGCTACTTCTGCGGTACTACGTCGATCCAACCGCGATCCTGGAGAGGATCTGTACGAGCGCGACCGCCCAGAGGAAACCCAGGTGTCGGCTGCTTCCGTTGGCTGCAAAAGACCGAAAACGGAAAGCTGTGACCTGGGCTACTCTTAAGTCTAATGCGAGCATTCGGCGGAACGGTTAGTAGCAAACCTGCGATAAACAAGCTCAACCAACGGCCAAAATGGTATCAATGAAAATATTGAGAGGCTAGCGGAGGGACAAACGTAATTTCAAATGAATTCGCGTTCTTCGTATGCTAGTCCCACTCCAGCACTAACCAGTCAAGTGCGTTCAATGCGACCACGCCAGGGGTTGTGAGTAACCACGTCCTAGGAACGTTTGAGACCTCCAAAATACCTGGCCAACATCCCCTAGATAGGCAGGAGGCCTCCGCACGCGTCATCCCAGTCAGATCGATCGAGGCGTGAGATTGGGCACGAGTGCTGCGTCAGTGTTCAGCTGGGGCTCGTGTCCAATCAGCGCGTCGAAGGTCGGACTCGGGCCCAATAGCCGAGTTAGCGCAATCCGACTCTGATGAAGTTTCACGACGGGAGAGGAGGCGATGCGGATGCTTTAGCTATTCTAGGTAGTGTTGGCCTGGAAGCTTAAAACATGCAGGGCGTGTCCTTCGCACGTTTCGCTCTGCGGCCAATGAGGTTGCGGAATTAGGTGATAAGGATATTGTGCGACGAATCACGAAGGAAGAGTGCGATGTTAAAAAGGCACGCCCTACGTTTCTTAAGCTGTCAGTGACTTTAGAGCTTGTGTCTAAGGGCATCGACCTCACGACCAATTATATCGGCTTTGAAAGCTGCTACGCGGTCAGGTCAAACTTTGGGAGGACTTTTGACTTCAACACACAACCAGCAATGGGTCAAAAAGTGTGAATTTTCTCTGCTCATTATCTAAGCGCAAATACCTCTTTCGGGTAAAACCGTATTTTTTTAGATATTCGATTTATTTGACAATACGGCAGGCCTCGTTCGGCCAAATGCAGGTGCCGACACGTGCGCGTCGTCATCCGGTGGGCTCGCTCTCTATTTCGCAATGATTGGCCATCGGCTGTTTTACGGGAAGCCTGGCAAGGCAGTCTTTTCTAGAGCGTAGTTCATTGACTAAACACATGTCATTTATTTATCTCAGAATAAACAACACCAAACAAAAAAGTCCTCACCTTATATCTGATATTGCTGTTCCTTAAGAAATATACAAATAACCGGCATTCTAGATCTCCACCTGTTTTGGTGCATCGTGTAATTTTCAGGATACCACAACGCAGAGGACATCTTATCCTGGTAACGTAGCTCTGCCTGAAACGTTACGCACACGAGTGCTCGAGCGATGAGGGTACGTGATAGCCATCCACCGATGAAACAAACCCTTTCAAAAATCTGCGAACCGCCGCTATTCTTTCCAAAGACACCTCAAGGTATACGACACTGAGTAGTTTCCATGACAGGCGATCAACCTTCTTTCTTCCCTTTGTTTTGCTATTTTCGTCGAATTTAAATAAATGAGGGGGGGAGGCGATTATTGCTTCGAATGAAATTGTAAATTCGCCATTTGCTTCGGTGTAACGATTATAAATTGTCTAGAGGTGTAACGATTATAAATCACACAGTGCTATTCAACGCCGAGCTCTGATTGGTTCTGATTAAAGGATAGTGGGTAGACCTCAAGGCAGCTCGCTTTGAGGTCTACCCACAATCCTTCAATTAGAGCCAATCATAGCTCGGCGTAATGACGGCACAACAACCGCTGCGAAAGGAGCAGACGAACTTCTGCTCCGCATTGACCTTTTGCCGAATTACCCAAGCATCAAAGAGAACGCCGGGAACGTAGGTACACGCGCTGCGCGTGCTTGCATCTCCAGCTGTTCGAACGCAAAAATCTACCATTTAGCACGCGGGTTACACAAAAGTTTTATTTTTGTTATTTATTTCCAATCTTTTGTATAGACAATTGCAAGCATGGAAAACCCGACTGGTGCACATCGTTACTAGATTACCTAAGCTATGGAACTTTCGCGGAAAGGGGCACTCTCCCCCCTCCCCCCCCGCCCCTCCCCCTTTACCCACTTTAGTTAGCCTCCCGCAGAGCCGTTCATTGAGAGAGTTTGGCCATACATTGGTTTGAATAGGCGAGCACCTCGGGGCCAACCAGAGGCCACGAAACAGTCCCTAGCGGTGGTCGTGTCCTCTAAATATGTGACACGACTAATTTGAGCCGTTTCAGCGTCGCTAGAGTGAAAAAGTTTAGCTCTCGGTGACTGAAAACTTTGCGCGTGTGAGGTTTTAGTCACGCCAATATTCAAGTGTAGAATAGACGAACGTGCGCCCCAAACCAGGGCCGACTCGCTAGAAACAGCGTCTCAGCTGAGACGGGGAAAGAAAGCACTGCCAAAATCAGCGCACGAGCCGAGCGGGACTCCGCGTCTCAAGTCGCTCGCGCGCCCCACCCTTTGCACTGTTTTCTTTCAGCCAGTCTCAGGACGCTGTTCTAGCAAGCCAACATCAGCAGTGCAGACAGAGGCATGGGCACGAGCGCGTGGCTTTGGAAAGTGCCTCCTATGCACGAGGTTTCGTACAAACAAAAGCGTTTTGGTGAGCTAGTCTCACGCGCCTGTGCCTTTGTCTTCACAGCAGACATTTGTGAGATGAAGCACAGAGGCCGCGATTGAACGCTTCTATTTCACGCTTTAAATGTCGTTTGCAATATTATGACGTCGCGGTCTCCTCATTGGTCGACGCTGTGTAACAAATTTAGTTTACGCTCTAAGCGCGAGGGGAATGTTTGGCGCTGGCGGCGGCCTTTGCTCCGCCTATTGGCCAAACTCTTCCAATACACGGTTCTGGCCTCCCGTCGTTTGAAGCGCCATCTAGATTTTCGTTTGCAAACTGTGTCTTCCATAGAGTACTGTGGAATGACATCTAGACACTGTGCTTTGAAACGTACATATTCTATAGAATACTCTGCAGCCACCATAGCAATTGTCGAGAGCGTGGAAGGGCGGGAAGCGAGTCGTGGTGAGTGATGGGGAAGAGGGGGGGGGGGGGGGCGGTTCGTGAAAGCAGCGTCTAGGAGTAGTTCCGTAACTGAGCTAATCTAATAACGTTGCTGGTGCCCCATGCGCGCAAGCACGTGCTGCTTGCGCTTGAACATAGCTTTGGTAAACTTGAAATTGCACGGGCTTGTCCGCACGGGCAGAGACATGAAGGTGGCCATTCGCATTACTTGCAATCGTCTCTGAGGAAGGCGAGTGCGTGCAGCGCGTGGACATACGTTCCCAGCGGTCTCTTGGATGCTTGGGTAATTTAGCGGAAGGTCTATTCGAACCCACATTCCCACACACCTAATATAAATCCTAGGCTGTGCTTCACATTCTCAATAACCCTTGCAGAGAATAAAAATGAGTCCCGCCCAGTATGACGAGCGGAAAACTGTCAAGAGCAAGACATGTATCGACATGGATACAACCCATAGATATTGTGATACTAATAATAAAAAAATAAAGCCCTCTCAGAAACTGCAAGCATTATTGGCCGGACTGCAAACAATCTCCACACTTCCCACGCTCTGTCGCAATCAATCCTGCTGTTCTTAGCTCCGTTTCACCGTACGATGGACCGCAACGGGCGTTATGAATCATTCTACCAAATCCAACGCCGTGAGCGCTCACGTGATTCTGCACATAGCGTGTCGCTGCGCCCTTTGGCGAAGTCACGTGACGCTCACACGCCACTGGGCTGTCTCCGATGGCTCGTCTGCTGCGGTCCATCGTATGGTAAAACGGAGTATAGTGGGTCGCTCGTCGGTCCACTCACATCTGGAGAAGGACACCTGCAGTCCCGAGCTCTGGCGCTTGTCGCTGATGGGCACCCTGTACTCGCTGGCGGCCGTGAACTCGCGCAGCTGCTTGGAGACGCACTTGAGCCGGAGCTCGCCCTTGCTGAAGTGTTGTTCGCCGAGTCGAAAGTGCAGTTTGAGCACCGTCGACGCCGTGCTGCCAGGACCGTTAGGTGGAGAGTACGACACGTACGAGTCTTGAGCCTGGGCAGCAACAGGGACACGCGAAGTTTCTCTGCAGTGGCTCTTCCGGAAGGCTTACCCCGGGCAGAGTCCACTCGTGCTAAATCACAGTCCAGCCAGCGCTCGCTCGAGCGCATGTATAACACGCAAGCACAGTAACGAACGTGCCCTCATACGGAAGCTCCGCCTCCAGCACGTGCTCGTTGCCATCCGCTAGGCTTTCGCTGGGCGTGCGACGACGTGTTATCAAAGGCAGAAAGCTGACGTTGGAGGCGTGAGGGTTCCGCATTTGATAACACTTGTACTGAATTCTTTACATGTCACCGACTATAGTCTGTACATGGTGTGCACGCGATGTTATCAAACCAGGCTCACCTGTATGATTTTGTCGAGAAAAAGAACTTCGATGGTGGAGAATGTATTCCTGCAAATGGTGAGCGCTCAACTCTATGGCCTCCACAATGGCTGCTGACGCGACGTCAGTGCAAGCCATATACAACGCTACTATACTTGGCGACAACTTTTCTTGGCAATTCAGTGGAGAGGAGGAGAGCTCGCACACAGCTTTATTCAGCGCTCAATAGGGGAGAAGAATCGCGTGAGCTTCTGTCCGGTGAGCTTTTGTCCGGTTACCATATAACCCATACTATGCAAAAGAAAAACACCGCTGACTATGAGTTACGAGGTTCACAAACCTGAAATTAAAATATTGTTGATCTGATTAAACTGAAATGGTAACCCTGGAAGGAGAAAAACCGGGAAGGACAAACAGAAAGCTCCGAACACAGCTTTGTTTAGAGCCATGTGTTTGTCCGACCCTTTTTTCCTCGGCTCCTGGGTTGCCATGTCAGTATTAAACCAGCTCGCCTGCACGCTTGGTTTAGTTCTAATAACACTTCTGGCTAAAAAAGAAGCATCAATAGAGTCGAATATTTTCTTTTTAAATTATTAACTATAGTTATGTACTTACCGAGTCAAACTTCCAGAGCCCCTGCTAATGCGAGTTAATGCCTGAACGCCTGAATACAGTGCAGAAGAGACGCGTCGATGGCCCCAACATTAGCCTAATGACGATGGCGACGGATATGAAAACGCGCTTACAAATTCGCCGCTTCACTTTCCAAATGGAAGACTATAAAGATTGCGCTAATGCCCCGTTTCCCTCATTACCGGAAATGTCGAGAATCACGAAACGAAAGGTCTTCCGACGAATCTACGAACTCTGCTCTCCGCCTTCAACTTTCTGCACTTTCAATACGAGCATGGTTTATATATGTTTCTTATTATAATTCTAAAGGGTGTATTGTAAATGCCCGAAGCACTGCGGTAACCATTGTCCCGCCTACCAAACGACACTACTCATCTTCAGATGACCACAGTACTACTTGTAAAAGTGTATACTGAACTTTATTGCTAAAAACCGCCGGAGGATTTTCGCATTGGCGGGTGGTATCAACACATAATACGGAAAGTTGTTTCGATGTCTGAGAAGCATATTTTTTTTTAAGGGCAGGACCAACTGCTCTTTCTTTAATAAATTTGCAGTGAGATGTTTTTTTTTATTTTGTATTACTGCCCACAACCACTCGTGGAACTGGGAAAAGAGAACACGCAGATTGGTCTCAGCAAGTGCTACTAAATAAACTACGCTTTAGAGTAACGACATTTGCCCATATTGTGGCTTAAAATCATTGCTGCCAGTTATCCGATGCTTTCTCTGTAATCACAGGAAACACTTTTCCGTCCTCCACAAATGTTTAAGCAGTTCGCGACAAAGCAAAGCAATATTACACGAGCTTTCTAACACCGAACCTAATGCTGAGGAAGTCGCACTTTTGAATAATGATGATCTGCAGTTGCGTCTGCTCTGCACAAGCACCAAAATGACGGCGCCCACAACAATGTCGGGGAACGGAGGGCCGCTGCTTGAAGCGCAGCTCATTTAGTGGCTCTAGTCTCAGCCTTCCATGCCGCAATCGAAAATAAGAATACGACCGCTATCTTAGTGAGAATAAGCCCGTGAGTGTATTCTCAAAAAAGATAACATATAACCACACTTCTCAACAAAAGTTGCTTGTCGAGAGCAGCCGGCCGGAGGGAAGAAAACTGGAATACGCGACGCTACACTCGCTGCCAGGTAACACAAGAAATAGTTTCTTATAGTTTTCTTTAGCATTTTCCAAACAAACAGTATAACTCACTTCTATTTGCGTGTAGAGCAAGGTAATTTAGTTCCCAACTTATGGTCATCTGGTGTTGTTGCTGTTGTGTACTCATTGAAATTCTACCACCAACATTATTGGTTCAACGATTAGTTAAACGATTATATGAAGAAGAACCTAAAAAGAGGCACCATTTATCTTGAAAAATGTAAGGGTGCAGGCGAGCTGCTGGAAGTTAACCATAGTTTTGTTATACCCGAGACTGGGGTATTTCGGAAAAGGGACGAGAAGAAAAGAGGCCACAAGGAGGCGACGAGACGTCGCCTCCTTCCCTAGTAGCACACTTCCCCGGCTCATACTTGGGCCAGCTTGGCGCAAGCTGTGGCCAGGCTTGAGCCGAGTTGGCTCTATCTGGTGCCAAACTGGCCCAAGCTGGGCCGTGGAAGTGTGCTACTTGGGTTGTGGCCTCTTTTCTTCCCCAAGATTTAAAAAAAAAAAAATTACACTTCGATTTTTTAAAGTTTTTCTAGGCATCAAACCATATACATTTGTGAGACTGTTGCACTTTCTTTGCATTTTTTTCTCGTGAGTATTCAGGTGCCATCGTAAAACAAATAAGGAAATTATGTTTAGTTACTGGATAGACAAAACGTTTCTTGACATATGGCGTTTATGCATACCTGTAACGTCAAAAGAGTAAAACGCATTAATCTGTACTTTAAAAAAGAAACACAAAAAGTAACGTGCGTTAGATGTCATTGATAACGGTAGAGCAAAAGCGTGCCGTTTATTTTGAGGTAACGTGGGTGGATAACCCGTTCCTTTTATTTGCAAGTAGGGAGTAACGTATTTCGATACTTTTTTTATATTCTGGCGGCTCTTTTTATTTATCTATTTATTTATCCTTTTGCCAGAGGCGTGTCGCGCGATAGTTTATGGACGTAACTTTAAACCACCAATATACACAGCGCACTGCCACCAGCGCCAACACGACCATGGCGCCTTTTTACCATTCGCTCCTGTAGTTTGGCGAAAAATAATTGTAAAGTATAAATTGGTGCTCTACAAGCGAATAGTAGTTTACTGTGCACCCTTCAGTTGCTGAAGAAAATATTCTGCTGCCTGCTGCGTTCTAGAGCTTACGCAGTGACTTCCGTTAGTAGTGTTGGGACTTGAAGTATTTTTTCTTAAATTTACGGACCACACACTTTTACAAAAGCCTTTGTTTGTTAAAAAAATAAAGTTCACTTATCTACGAGGAATGTTAGTGCAAGTTGGTCTTGTGGGAGTCTTATTAAAGGTTACTCGTACGCTCTGTGAAACAGCAGACATGAGCATCGTTCTCATATGGTATAAACAAATTCGACTCACTGGACGCTCAAATTTTTTTGTTAATACTATTCCCGACGAGACAAGCGATTGATTGAACGTCTTTACATGTATGTATGAAGTGCCTGCATTCTCATAGATTGAAGGGAAAGAGGCCGACATAATATTATGGAAAAAGCGAAACTATAAGACCGACCCTTGGTATTTCGGTAAAACAAAACACAGAATGTACGTCAGGTTTATATCGGTTGAGAGTACCGACAATAAAGTTTCGGCACTTGAAAGAAAAAAAGAAAAAAAAAACGGGATGAGATAACCTCAAAGATGGATGCGATTGGGAAGTTTGCAAGTTTGGCGTCAAACCGAGAAAACAACAAACTACAAAAACAAAAAAGGGAAAAGCAGGGTAACAATTTTTTATAGAAAAACATTTTTAAGAAGAGCAAGACGGGGATGAATCTTTTCTTGAAATGCGGACAGAAACCATCATGGATTACGAGAAAGGAAACTGAGGTCACAAGGGTCACAGACTTAAGCTAGACAGAATCACGGATTTCCGTTGCGAATGTTTTTCTTTTTTTCTTCTTTCTATTCGCTCTTTCGAGACCGAGTCCATCCTGGGGGAAAGAAAGGTAAGAAGAATGGCGACAAATGGCAGCCTGTCTGGCCCGATAATCATATTGTGGGATTCCCTTCCAATTACGTCTAGTGCGGTGGCATTTGCTTTCGTCCTTCTCTGACAGGCCCAACAAAATGAGAAGAGATTGGGATGCAGAGTGGAGCGGACGTCCAAAAGAAAGATATTCTGGCGGCGCTTTTTATTTATTTATTTTTGATTTATTTTATCTAGAGGCGTGTCGCGCAATAGTTTATTGACGTAATCGTTACGCACCCATATGCACAGTTCACTACCGACAGCGGAAAAACGCCCGTGGCGCCTTTTTATTATTCGCTCCTGCAGTTTGGCGAAGAGCTTCTGGTAAGGTATAACGTAGTGCACTACAAGCAAACAGTATAGTTAATTGTAAACCCTTTAATTGTTAAGGCCCGTTCACACTCTTGCGACCTCTTAAACCTAGGTTCCTTAAAACTTCTTAAACCAGAGAACACACTGGCGCCATCTATTGGGAAGCAGTGTAAACTCGGCGGTCCGGCATATTTCGTTTTATTTCTCGCGCATTATCCTTTCTTTCTTGGCTCGAAAAACTTTTGTCAATGTTATAAACGAGCCTTTCTATGGTTATTACGCACATTTGACCTCGGAAATCCCGCAAAACCTTCGCTCTTGTGAAATGCAGTTCCAGGGTCACCGCATAGATGGCGCCACAATACCAGTGTGTTCCCTCATTCTAAAAAACATTTAAGAAGTTTTAAGAGATCGCGTCTCTCTCAGTCGTACTCGGTCGTACTCGGTCGCAAGAGTGTGAACGGGCCTTTAGACAGAAAAAGAAACGTTTGTGCTGACCGTCGCGTTGTGGAGTTTTCGCAGTGGCTTCCGTTAGTATTGATGGGGCTTGACTATTGCTTCTT